GACGCACGAATGATCCTACAAGGGTTCTGTGTTTCATTGGGACGTACGGAACTCTAATCCGGGAACCAACTTAACATTATAGTTAAAAAAACATGTTCTCCTATTCCTTCAAACTGCAAATGTAAATTTGCACGCACAATATTGTTTTGTTGAAAGATTTACCATGTTATGTTCAGAACATAGACTTAATTAATTTTCCTGTAATCTCTAAGTAAAAAACTATTTTTTGTTACTTTAAGTTTGGTGGATTCAGAGATAATGAGGGGAAGTGATTAATTTTCACCTATTTCCTTAAATAACTATTATTTTAGAATTATAAAAAAATATATTTGAGGCCCTTACAACAAGCCCATTCATTTGATATATCACACAGTGCAGTTAGCGAAAGTTTTTTTTTAAATTTTCTACTGGCCCCCAAAAATGACCCTCACGTTCAAAATTGATTTATTTATGTTAAGCGTCCGCATTTGAAATTCATATGTACTACATTTCAACTTAATCAGTCTAGCAAATTCGGAACAAATTGACTGTGACAGACGGACAGACAGACACATGAGTGATCCTGTAAGGGTTCCATTTTTCATTTGGACGCACGGAACCCTAAAATGCATTAGTAATAAAAGATGACAATAGATTACTCACGTATAATAGGCATATATACCAACAGTAATTTATTGAATAAATGTGGCAATATCGTCTGATTATTTTTATTTCTTAAACGTTAGGTTATGATTGGAAAAAGTTCCTATTATTTAAAATTTAATCAGAACAAGCTTCTCAACAATAACCCAATATTTTTTAAGTAAAATCACAATGTATCTATATTTAATAAGCGGCTATTATGCGAGTTTCAATTCATGTGTATTAATCGGAATATGAAAATAAGAAAATTCCACCACTCTCAAGTACTTGTTTTGACTAGGTACATAAAGAAAAGGTTTTACCGATTCGATCAAAAATATATATCTTTCTATTTAAGTACGTGCTTATAAAATGCTTGTTTCCAATTTAATATCTACGTATTTGTAAATCGATTCCTTAAAAAGTTACCACCGACAAAGCCTGTAAAAATGCAAATAAATCAACGCTCGAAGTCATTAAACTACTTTCTTGGCATATTTAGTTCGCTTTTTATTGGAGATCCGAAAAAAATAGGGTCATGCTTAGTAAATAACAAAGTTGACGACCAATTAGATACTGGCAAACACACTCAATGTAACTGATCTCATCGTCGTGGAATTCACATTTATGCCAGGAAGAATTATATTAAAAAAACGGCTCCCAACGCCTACTTTAAATAATGAGTTCGCTACGCGCATATAAATGTGTATAACGTACATTAAACTAAATGTTTATCTTCTCTGTAGTAAGTTTTAGAAGTCAACCTACAGAGAACACTCTAAATATATTTGCTTGAATGGGCTGTAATATGATTATTAATATAAAAAAATATCTTTGCGCTCATTTGAAACTAGAACTTTAATAATCTTTGGTTGAATTATTGTATGAATAGAAGCTCAAACTTACAAACATCCTTAATTACTTATTGGATTACCATAAATTCGATTTTTTTAGTACTTCGAGGATTTCGCATGTTGCTTTTTTAAAAATTATATGAACAAGTAGTTAAGTTTTGAATGCATCAGTACCTACGCAGTTTTGTCAAAATATCATTGGTTTTATTATCATTTGTACTGTAACTTTCCATCTCTTCCTCAACAAGAATGTATATTGTAAATTGTGAGCTTCAAAAGGAGAAGCTTTTATGACAGTTTCAATTTCTCGTTCCTGCAAATTGGAATACGTTTCCTGGGACTGAAAACATGATCATGATACATGACCATTCCTCTGGGATAAACTGAAAAAATCAGTCAAACTAGTGATAAGCAAAATTGGTCTTGGTTTCGCGATCTTGGTCTTGGCTTGCGAAAATGGTAGACCAAGACCAAGACTGTCTTTATACTGACAAGACCAATACTAAAACCAAGACCGAATATGCAAGACCAATGCCAAACATGCAAGACTCTTGGAACAAAACATTCTTTGTATTTGAAATTTTCAGTTTGCCTTATTAGATTTTAACACTAAATATAAAAAAAAACAAAATTACCACTGTTTGAAAAAATAGATTTATACGAATGTCCTCTGAGCAAATGTTGTTTGCTCCTATACCTATTTGGGTAACGTGGTTGAAATATAGAGACAAACTAATTTTTTTTGCGGGCAATACTAAGACTTAATACGCAAGACTAAGACCAAGCCTGAGAATGTATCAGTAAGATCAAAACCAATCTATAAAGGTATTTGAGCAAGACCAATCCCAAAATTGATTAAGCAAGAGGAAGACCAAAACCAAGACTGGGACAATCAAATCAAGTCTCACAAAAAAGGGAATCCATTTTTTGATAATCACCTGCACGTTAATGTCAACGTGGCTTGGCCAATACTGTTATGTGAAAATGGGAATGATATGATCCTAGAACCTTCTTGCATGAGAATTTCAGCTTTACCAGATGCTTAATGTAAGTGTATTGATTGACAATAAGTCACCTCATCACTTCCACCACTTCTGTTGTAAATACATGACGTAAACATACAACAAAGACATCTTTGATAAGTAGCATTTACGTGAGTATTCTGCTTCTCATTTTTATCAACGATATAATTCTAATTTACAAAAGCCCTTGTGTAACATTTGAAATACTTCAGTTAGCACGTTAGCAGCAAATGTCAGTAGACAGCAACATACTACTGTATTATAAAAGTGGATTTGGTTATATGGAGCATCTTTGTTTTGATCGGTCATTTATCGAGACTCTTTATGACGTGCTGATGAGATCAAATAAGATCGAAATTGCGCTCCACCTCTAGTAGTTTCAATAAATTACTGGCCAAGTAATAGTTTGCTCCTTTTGGATGTTTAAACAAAAACTTTTGATGCTTTACATTAGAAGCAGCTAGTAGCATCTGCAGCCCTTTAAAATTCACTTTTTCAGCAATAGGAAAACTCTACTCTTGTTTCACCCTTTGAGACTTTTTCAAGAGAGCTCAATAAGTAGAAGCCTTTGTGGCGGTTTTCTACTAATAATGTTTCACAAAGAACCAATACTGGAATCCCCGCAGCAAGTATTGTGTATTAACACGATGATGCCGTTTTGAAGATTTTTTTAAGGTAGATACCATAAGAAAAATATAATAAGTTTAGATATTAAAAACAAACACTTCAATTACCCTGTTGTGATTATAACATCATTAAAATATATACAACCAACCGTACACCCGAATATAGACCCGTTCACTTTTTTTACGTTGATTCAGAGACAATCCGGTCTTTTAATTAAATGGTTTAAATTCTTTAAAATTGAAAACAAACTTAAAAATGTTTAAAAATTGTCATTGTTTTTGGTTAAAACAAAACTCACGTAACTGTTACCAGAATTCTATATAGTACCAACCGAAATTAAAAACATTTTAGTAAATTAGTGTGTAGGATGTGCAGAGTTGAGTTTGAAGGTAAGGATTGTAATAAAATAAATGATTAACAAAGGCAGGTAGGCTTTTGTACCTTTATAGAATGGAGAATATTGGCTGGTCAACTAAACTGGTTTCGATTTACACTCAGCAATAAATTTTATTTGTTGACGGATTCTCGACCTTTCAACAAACGGTGGAAATAGAGTTTGAAGAGATTCTGGTGAGAACTACCGAGAACATTTAAGAATTGAAAAATAATACTGCTTCCTGAGCTATATGATAGTCTGAAGTTTTTGTGTTGGTGATTTATCAAAAACATGAAACGTGGTACTAATTTGTGTAAAGCACAGAAGTACAGGCTCGTTGATGAAGTAAAATAACAGTTGTCAAATTAAAATAAACATTAAAAACATTAACATAAAAATGGTAATTATCCAGAATTGAGGCTCCAGACTAAAATCGCTCCAAAAATTTTTTCATTTTCCATTTACACAACATTTTTCAAATACATGTCATATCCTATATTCGAATGTGACGTAGATACTGTTATTATACAGAGTGGTAGTTTCGTTAGAATGAGTAAGTCAGTATATGGGTTATAGCGAAAACCAGCTGGACTCAAGTTATGTCCATCCTAGAAGCAAAGCACTTGCAGTTGATCGTCGATATTTAAATCCGAAAGTCTAATCGATAATATAATCGGTCACGTATAATCGATTGGTTACCAACGTGAATCTCGAACGAGATAATCTACCACACAATATGAATATATATATGTACCTTATTATCAATACTTATCTTTTAACTGTGAACCGTGAATAGTAAAATCAAACACCACAACGAAAATCAAACCAATAATAAAGCGTCTTAAAATCCAAAAGATAGTACCGAATGGTACCCCAATTATTGTGATAGTTAATATATGTTAATAAAAATCAGAAAGAGATTATAAATTGCATTTTCCATTTAGGTATTAATATTAACTAATAGTTTTGTAACTTTATGTCCTTCGAAAATATGCAAAATTATTATCAATATGTTAACTATCACAGTGACTTTGAAATCAAATCAAATCATTTGTTAAATAACATTTGTGGGTGTACCAAATTACTGTAGTTGATATAAACACTATAGTAATATTATTATGATATACCCACCTACTAAAAAAGTAATTTTTCAATCAGAGATTTCATTATGACTATTATAAAATGTTTATTTATAAGGTAGAATATTTTTACTTCTGATATGAATCTCGAGGGTGTTTTTAGTTTGTGTTTGAGTGTCGTGATGATTTGCAAAGTTTTCGTATTTTTTTTATAGAGAAAAATTCGTGTAGATTTAACAAATTAGGTTTATTGGCAACTTATTTAACTCAATACAAAAAATTTAACATTACAAGATAAATATCAGTTGTGCAAAGAATGTATGCATTTTGCGAGTTTAGGCTAGTCAATAATCTTTGTATTTTAATTTTACGAACTCTTCCCCGAAATTATAAACATTCACCCGTTGTGCAACAGTTTAAGTCAACACATCGTCTTGTTTAAAAATTCGTGTTCTTTCCTCAGCGACTGCTATTTTTTTCCAGACAATGAGGCAATAAGAATTCATTTCACAAAGGCTAGAGATTGTTTATTTTATACCCAAGTCGCATCATCCAATATCTTCATACTTTCAGACACCATTTCAACGCTTTGAATATTAAAGGATATTTTAGTAGCTTCGGGCGCGTGGAAAGAGCTTGCCAATTAAAATTTACCCTCTAAAGATGTGCCAACGCATTCGGATATTGATCGTTCCGAGAGGGTGCGCATGCGTTACAGGAAAATAACCCTAGCAAAATTTTCTCAAGGGAAAATGGCGATAACACTGTATCGATTTCACTCCATTCATGAACCCGGGGCTGCACAATTTTTTTCTAGTCTATTTATAATTTGGTTTCAGGCTATTTTGGGTAACCTGCTATATAAATAAGTAAGTGATAGAAATGTAATTACTTCTAACCGCTCAGAACTTACTCGTTATTGTGAACATTTTTAACAAGGGGTAATAACAGAATCCACACAAATTTTGATTTTAGTAAAATGCAAATGGTTTTAGTTGTATGAGGTAATACAGTAGTCGTCAATCAATTACCTCGAAAAAATTGATTAATAATAATGGTGAAAAACTGCTTTATTATGGCTTTTTAAACCATCTTTTATAAAATGCATACTGTAACTCATCTAGGGTCGTTCTACTGTTAGTTGCTCATAAAAAGATTGGATTCTTTAAGCTTTAAGCTCTAAGGTATGTTCTTGTCCTTCAAGTAGCTATGTAAGTATACACATTTAATTAAACCAATAATGTAATTTGTACCTAAAGTTTCCCGTCAATGGAAAGTTAGGCTTCTTTAGGGATTTTTATTTTTACCCAAAGTTGCTTCCGTTTTTTTTTTACGAATACAGTTTTTTTATTCAATTTTTTTTGAAAGGTGCTGTACAATTTGTATTAAGTTCAAAGGCCTAGAGAAACGAATTTTAAAAAATATGACACACTTATGGAAATAAAAGGATTGAAATCTGTTTCGTGGAGGAAAATTATAGGAAATTTATTTCATAAATGTAGACCTACTCGGCCTACTCAGCAAATATTAGAAAGTTATACTTACCTAAAGCTTTTCCCAAATGGAAATTTTTATGAATTCCATTCTTGCTCTAGAACTTGCTCACTTTAACGGTACACTAACAAATTTCAAATTTTCACATTCGAGTATAAAGCATATAAAGAACTGAGCGTAAAAGGATGCGATCCAAGCTTGCTCCCGCCGTCAAGTTTCACTACCAACTGTTAGCGTTGTCTTCCCTATTACCCGGTTCCCTCCGAGCGACCGACCGGAGCCATTAACATAAATTATTAGAGGAGACAGTTAATATTGGGCCATAAAGTTTACCCATGCTGGCATTTCTGGAGAGAACAACGATTGCTCAACGGACTTTTAGTGGAAAGCTCGGGGCGATTTTGGACGAAACTGCAACCGGAGCGATCCGTCGCGCTATTTGGCTTTTGTTGTTGTTATATTCTATTATCTATTGAACTTGGAGTTTGTCTATTCGAAGTATATGGTCGTTTTTGCGTTTGGTGTTACGTTCTGCTGGAATGATGCTCAAACCTTGGCGGAATTTCAGTTGACTCACAATTCCTTTACGGAGCGGCACACAACGGTGATCAAAACGAAGGTACACAATGTCACACAAGCGATATCATTAATTTTCTTAGAGAACATATAGAAGGAATGCCGACTTTTGAATTAAATCATTTTTGAAACACAAAAGTGATTGTGAAGAAATCTATTTAATAAATTTGTGAAACAAACCAAATGGGTTTGCTTTTAAAACCCTTCTTTAGAACTAAACAATGAGATTAATTCGTAATGAAAGGCAATGATACTTGTTTAAACTTATGCATTCCATTATTCTATAGTTAACGCATTTATTTTCAAGTAAACAACATAATGGTTTACCACACATCATATCGTCTTTGCCATAATAATTGTATCGCTTATTCTTTAGTAGTAGTGCATGACGGTTGGTTGACCGCAAGTACCTAAACATTGTAATGGTGCATCATCTTTTCGCAACTATAAGTGCTGAATATACAGGGTGAGATATTTGTCTTGAGACTATGAATATCTTCATTAAATCTTATTATTTTGATTGATTTTTAGATACTTCGTGACCGTGGGTATGACTTTTACCCTGACCCTCGAGATGATTTTGCAAGTTAAGTCATTTTGTTCCAACCCCAGAAATGGAAAGAGCAAAAAATTTTGTGATTGGGAATATTCTTGAAGTTATTTTTTTTTTAATTTTTCAAGATATTAAAAACGATCAAATATCATAAATCTCTTCAGTGAATCTCATTATTTCGGAAACAGTTTCAGGCAAAAGCGAATATTTTCAGAGAGGCAATTAACTGCCAGTTAATCTTGTAGGTGTGCTCAACCTTCACATTCAAGCTCAATTCATGATCAAGTTTGTTTTATTTTGAAATACACAAACCCAGGAATGGAAAGAAATCGATAACACTGTTGAAGTTGGTTTCCTCTTAATTTTTCAGTAAGCATTAATGAGAAATTAAGAACAAATCAACTTCAGTGGTTTTCCTTGCTGTTGACAAAAATATGTTTTCCCAATAAAAAATTACCGAAACCACAAGTTCAAGCTAGAGTTTACACTCAAGTTCGCCATTTTGATTGCCTCTTTGAAATTGTACAACTTCTGTCTGAAACATTTCCCGAAATAATGGGATTCAGTCTAGGTATTTTGGATATATAATTGCTCTTAATTGGTTCAAAATTAAAAGCAAATTAACTTCAAGGGCACTTCCGATTAGAAAATTTTGCGCTCTTCCTAATGCCGAGATCAAAAAGAAGCATCCCCAATTGAGAGAAAAAATGAAAACAATAACTTATCGTTCAAATGACCTTAATTGTCAAGGTCAATATTAAGTTCATGATCACCAAATGATCTGTCTTTGAGAAGAATACAACAAAATCAAGATATTTCATTGTCTTTAGTTAATAAATTACCCACCCTATTTTATCACCACCCTTTTGGCAATTATATAGAACAGGAATTAAGAACAATTTGTTATTTTCAAATGTACCTATAATATAGGTGTATACGAGTTGTATAGAGGAATATATTTAACCGTAGTTTAAAATCAACCCTAGAACTTTAATAATCTTTGGTTGAATTATTGTATGAATAGAAGCTCAAACTTACAAACATCCTTAATTACTTATTGGATTACCATAAATTCGATTTTTTTAGTACTTCGAGGATTTCGCATGTTGCTTTTTTAAAAATATATGAACAAGTAGTTAAGTTTTGAATGCATCAGTACCTACGCAGTTTTGTCAAAATATCATTGGTTTTTATTATCATTTGTACTGTAACTTTCCATCTCTTCCTCAACAAGAATGTATATTGTAAATTGTGAGCTTCAAAAGGAGAAGCTTTTATGACAGTTTCAATTTCTCGTTCCTGCAAATTGGAATACGTTTCCTGGGACTGAAAACATGATCATGATACNTTGGATCTCATCAGCGCGTTGTAGCACTGTACTACAAATGGCGTTTACAGGGCCATTTGTCGTATTTACTATTACTTTTATTACATTATGGTTTGAAATAGATTTTTTGATTACACCGTATTTTATATGTACAACGCTCAAGTGTTATCTAATGAGGAACTAATAAAAATGTTAATATAACCGTTACTTTACTGACGCAAACAACCATGACCTAACTTCTTTTGAAACGCCTAGGCGAAATTTAAAACGGCCATTTATTTCATACGCATTCTTACCATTTTGCTTCACCCATGTGTAACAGACAGTATCTATTTTGATTTTGGAACGAATTGCATATTACGGTGACTAGGAGCTAGCCAGCAAAAACCAGTGTTGCCAGATGAATTTCCTTTTCATGGCTTAATTTTCTACCGCAATTTCCTTATATTTCCCAAGCGATTCTTACAACAAAAGAAGGATGTTTAAACCAAAAGATTCATTTGGCGCATTTCTATTCTTTAGCAGTTATTCACAAATATTTAAATAAATTTTCAAAGTACAAGTACCTAATCTGTACACAACAAAGATTCATTTGGCACAGAAACTAAATTATATCATAAATTAACCAAGAATCCCTGTTTTTTTAAGCTGGCGATAAATTCCTTAGGTCTGGGGAAACTTGCCTAGGCTTGGCAACGCTAGCCAAAAAGCGAATGTGTTAGTGGACATCTCTCTTCCGCTTACTTACTGTTTGCAAAGAGTAGCAGAGCTAACAGTGTGAATTTGACAGTCTTCTATTTAGTGAATATATTGAATCGGAGTCATTTTAAAAATCATCAGATCTAGCCTGTTAGTAGCCATTCGGTCCACAAATTACCTTTTCGGATTGAGTAGATAGTGCTTACAGAATGCACACATGTTAAAGGTGTAGGTATGTTTGGAGCACGACGCTGGACGGGTGCGAAAACACTGGACAGTGAGCACGGCGGAAAAAAAAATGTTAGAAGCGTTTGAAATATGGTGTTACAGGCGAATGATGAGGATACCGTGGATAGAGACTGTTAGAAATGAAGAGGTATTAGAAAGAATAGGAGAACAGAGGACTCTATGGAAGACAATAAAAAATAGGCGAGATAGGTTGGTAGGACACCTTCTCAGGCATGAAGGTCTAGTCAGAGACATATTAGAGGCAAAAACAGGAGTTAGGAGAGGTAGAGGTAGATCTAGATTAGATTACTGTTCGCAAACAGTTAAGGATATGGATTGCTCTAGTTTTAGAGAAATGCGAAGATTAGCTCAGGATAAGAAAGAGTGGAGGGCGTGTCCAACTAGTCTGAGGACTGACGACTGATGATGACCAAAATGTACAATTAATGACACCACCTAACTTGTTTTTCTTTTCTTGGTCCCCAATTCTTGAAGGAGCATTTTTACAACATATGTACGTAAGAATTCATTTTAGCTGCATCATAATATCTGATGGTTACTCATGCCGTACATATAACGTGCAGGGCGCCTTCCTTCCGTTCTGATTTTTTTTTCGGCAGTGGATACTGGATGGATATAAGGTGTGCAGCTGTCAATAATATAGTAACACCGATGACGCGATGGGTCCAAAAGCTCCACGTTGATGCACCGGTAAACAAAGGTCCAAGTGAGATGGAATAACGTGCGGCACGGCCATTATAAAAAAGGCGGCGATAGAATTTGGGGCTAGCTGCCCCATGCAGGATTATAATACCGTTTCGAGTGACAGCTGCAGAACTACATTCATAGAAGGTAACTCTGCTTACGTCATCGCCATCCGGCTTAACACATTTTAACCGGTGTGTGTGTGTCGGATCGGTCAAACAACGTGTAATTAATTCAGTAACTGCTAGTTGATTAATTTAATACGATACCGGGTGTTTAGCACGTATTATCTGATCGATTTACAGGATGTTGCTATTTATACGGGGCGAATCTTAAAGATGAGAGACGGGACAGAGCAAACATATATCCAAAATATGAAAATTTTTCTGATTACTATTTTTTGCGTAAGATGCAAAAATATATTTTAACATTTTCTTAGTTCTTAAGATTTATCTAGCTAATATAAGAATAAAACATTTGGCAGTTGAAAATTCAAAAAATAAAAAGGATAATTCACATAAAGGGTGCTTAATTTGTCAAAATCGAAATAATCAACTTGTTCCCTTTTGTTGTAAAATAATCTAGGTACCGACTAGTACCAAAGTAGCATAGAATTACAATTGTTATTATCTTTTAATTGTTGTTCATTGTTCTCTGATGCCTGATGCCGTTTTATTGGACATCCACTTGTAACCAGAGAGCATTGAATGACTGTAAAAAAAGTACCGTTTTTTGAGAATTTTTTTACAAAATCCTTAAGGAAAATAACAAAAATATTGTAAACAAAGAAGTTTAGACGTAATAGCACCCGAGATGTTCAGTCTCTCAGAGTCTCTGAAAGCAAGACTCGAGTCTCCGTCTCTCATCGAGTCTCTCTGGTGTCGCTGAAAGAGACTGTCGAGAGACTGTCAAAAAAACTGTTTAGCGTCTCTGAATGAAAGATTCGAGTCGCTCATAGAGAGATCCTCATTTCGTATTCAGTCTCTGAACGAGAGACTCGAGTCGCTCATAGAGAGATCCTCATTTCGTATTCAGTCTCTGAACGAGAGACTCGAATCTCTGAATTAACAATTTTATCGTTCGAGTCTCTCATACAAAGACTGCAACAGATCCATAAAAACACCTAGACCATAACTGGGAGACTGTGAAAGACTGTGAGAGACGCTCTCAAAGGCGCTGAGAGACTGGAGAGAGACTGAAAATTTTTGTCTAGTGCAATTTAGTTGTTGATATAGACATTTTTGTTTCCTAGCACTTTTATGTACTATAAAAACGTATGTATTTATTACCATTGGTAAAGTATATCTACCCTCTGCGTTTTTAACCGTAAATGTCTAGAAAAGGCATCAAGTTGCAAGTAGGTCATCAGCCAAATTGCTGTTGGGTTAAAATAAGACAGGATAAGACCAGGGATACCTCTGCAGAACTTACCTGAAAAAAAGGCTCAATATGCAAATCCTTATGAAATATTTGCAAAAATTTACAAAATGTAATAAAATTCTTACCTTACATAAATGATATATTTGTTATATTATCATTGTCTTTGTAAAATCCGGGGTAAATATGCATTTGTTATGTAATTCATGAACAAAATTGGGTTGCTGAATTATTTTGTCGTGTATTACGTCCTTGTGGCGCTAGCGAAAATGGAAACGTTGATGACCAAGATACACAAAAGGGGCTACTTGTGACTTTGTTTGGCGAAACGTTTACTGTTAAGCAACAGACAAACGACAAGCAACTTAACAACCGTTTAATATCGAACGTGATGGCTTACATAAAGTGTACTGATTAATTGATACTTATATTCAATTAACATTTGTTTGGACCATAAAAATATGTTAATTTGTTATTATATAAGCAATACGTTTATTTGCTTATGGACATGGTATCTATTTGGTTTTTTTGATTTATTTTCATGCATTACATACCATGGTCATTTTCGAAATAATGGAAAAGTAACAATGTAGAATTCGGTTGTTCAGAAAATTTATGTATTCAACTAAATGGTAAAATTAAAAAAGTTCTTTTGTGCTATACTTATAAAAACCAATAATGAGGTTCTATTGTTAGGTACGTTTGGATTATTTACGTTAGATTGTCAGTAGGTAATAAACAAAATTAGTAGTTAAAAAAATCTCAATTGTCCCAATAAACCTTCCTAGACATCCGCTGTTTCGACATCCTCAAATAAAATCGGAAGGTTACATTATTAATTTTTGTTGCAGAATATTTTTTTTTATTCTTTCCTCTTTTCCTACCACGAACATAAGCCCTACCCCACTTTTCGAGTGTAAAATTTGGGTGAAACACAGTATAATATATTTTTTTGTTTGCGTTGACCCCTAGAAGCTAATAGATAACTCGTATTTCGTTTAATTTTTTTTGATACAACTTTGACAACTTTGTCTGAATTTAATTGACTACGTCTGGTCCTATTAAAAGTCGTTCTTAATAAGCTTCTTATAAAATAATTATTCGTGATCCTTATTTAACAGTGATGTGTTTCTGTTCAGGCTTTTGTTATTTTTGGCTAAATAAATAAATAACCGTTAGTGCTTTTAAGTTACTTTTGTGTAATATCTATTCAGCTTTTAAATAATTTTCCTGGAACTGTGAATTGTTGGCGACATCTTTGGAACTTCGCTGAAATAACATTGAGCGATGCAATAGCTAATGTGATGATGACTATAATAATTCCATGGTACCTGTAACAGAATACTGATTCGTAAATACAAAGAAGTGAACCATCATGGTTTCTATAATACATTCAGGAAAACTGTCTCTTTGAGAAAAATTTCCATCACTATTTTTCATATAATTTTTCACACTGCAGATTTAAAGATTCAGAAAAATTTGATATTGAAGTGCATATGCGATTAGTATTTTTTATTGTTATAGCCCATTCAATATAAACTTTAGGAACTTATTTAGGTATTTAAATAAGAGTTTTCCTTCTTAGAAATCATTCGCACCTGGATTAAATTATTTTATTGCATATTACAGAAATA